AAGAGAACGAAACATTCTTTGTATTGGGTGTGGAAATTTCTCTCTCGTAGATGTATTTTAAAAACTTTCCCAAAGGGGGATGGACACGAGGCAGTGTGCCAGCAAGAACGCTGGGCTCCGAAGGGGGTTGAATTGTGAGATCCCACATCGGTTGGGGAAGAGAACGAAACATTCTTTATAAGGGTGTGGAAACCTCTCCCTAATAGAAGCGTTTTAAAACCTTTGAAGGGAAGTTCGAAAGGAAAAGTTCAAAGAGAATAATATTTACTAGCGATAGGATAAGATAATTACATAAGCTGTCATAAATATAAACTCATAACAAGTATGAGAAATTTTCCACCGATCCGTAATGAGAGCTACTTGGGAACTTTTTAAAGTATAAAGACTAAATTCTCTCGAATGCAAAAAAGGCAAAACTAGTAATTATGAACCTCGAGAATTGTAGGCAAGGCGGGGCACCACCTGGGGCGTCGATCGTCGAACTCGAAACTATCAGAGAATTGAACAGCAATACCTTTAGAGGCAAACTTTCCGGAGTTTCTCAAGATCAACTCGAGCTGTTGTTTGCTAACCACAATGGTGGTGATCTTGGGGAGTTTGCACAATTCAGCAGGCTTGCTAACAGCATCATCATCATCATCAATACGAACAGGCAGTGGAGGAGGAGCCCCACGGTCAACTTCTAGCACAGCACTTGAAGTTGTAAAGTCTTGGGTTGTTAGGTTTAGGCCTTTATAAGTTCCAGAAGCTATCTTTTCAATGGGCAATGCCAAGCTTAAATCTTCTCCTTCACAGCATATCAAATGTTTCAACTTTTGCAGAGGTCGGAAATGGGCTGCGTTGATGCAATTCCCCATTTTTTTTTGGTCAAATTAGACAGATTTTGATTCTGTTGCTAATATTTAGTGCGGCGTTGTCTTTGAGTTTGCTCAACGTGCTAACCATCACATAATTACAAATCTTAAATAGTGGAGTTTTGAATCAATCAAATTAGCCTAACGTATTGAAAGGGTCTTAGCCCTAGAAGAGAACATAGAGCCAATCGCACTAGAACTCCGTCTTGGCCTAGGAAAGCGTCGGCAATAACAGAAAGGAAGCGGGTGGGTAGAAGTTTGGCGCTATCACTTCCGTCAACTCCGACAAGAAACTTATGAATGCCTTACAGAATCGGAAAGCTTGGAAAAGAGACGTGAACACTAATTTCGAAAGATCATCCAAAGACCGAAAATCGTGACCCAAAATCCACCCTTGCTTTATGTTCTTAAAAGAAACCAATTTAGTTTCAATACAAAAAACAAAAAGGGCACAAATTTTCAAGATTGTTCATAATTTACCCTCCGGACGAACATGGGTCTCATAGCAGATTGGATTCACATGACAGAACATCCGGTATTACAGTACCCCCTTCCACCGTAGCCACCGCCGTAGCTGTCATAAACCGGCATCCCGACGTAGCAGGGCGGTGCCGCCGGAATCCCGTAGCCGTGGCATCGGTAACAGGGCCGACCCTCGTAACATGAACAGTAGTAAACAGGGTAGGGCGGCGGCGAATAGCCTTGAACCGGTTGCGCCACCACTTTTGGCTTTTCCACTTCTTTCTTCTCTTCTTTCTTCTTTTCAGGCTCTTTGATCTCAATGCTCTTAATGGATCCATCCCCTTTGCAGCAAATTTTCTTCATAATCATTTCAGGCTTACAGCACACAACTTTGATCAACACGATTCCTTGCTTCTCATTATAAGCCTGGTCTCGAATTTCTAGAATCAAAGAATTATAAACGTAAGTGGGTAAAGATTCAGCAATACAATTCTTAATGGAATGACAACGTACGAGGAAATTTGGCAAGAACTTTCTTGACTTTCTTGCAACAACGATCGCATTCGAGGTCAACTTTCAACACCATGAGCACCGTCTGCAACAAAAAAAAAAAGTTAGAATTTTGAGAAAGTGATATCAAAATGAGTGCGCCGGAGAAGGAGATCAAGGAAGAAGATACCTTTTCCTCCATGGCTGAAGCTCAAGTGAAGCTGCTCCGATCTGGAACTGAGCTTAAATGGAGGAAGACCAAAAGAAAACAGGTCAATGAGGATCATTAATACGGCAGAGACTAGGAAACAGAACAGGAACAGAAAGGAGTTCAGGAAACATAAATAGAATCATCCAATCATCACGTGCTTCTTTTTATATGGCCAAATTAGATGGAATTTATTTATTACCTGATCTAATTAGATTTAATTAAGTGGATAATACCATTTCCTTCTCTTATTAATCAACCTTATCATCTTATTCAATTTTAGTATGGATTTTGTTAGACGAACACGACTCTCCACAATGGTATGATATTGTCCACTTTGAGCATAAGCTCTCATGGTTTTGCTTTGGGCTTCCCAAAAGGCCTCATGCCGATGAAGAGTGTATTCTTACATTATAAACCCATGACCATTCCCTAAATTAACCGATGTGGGACTTTCATCATCCAATAGATTGACAAATCCTTAAATGTCGAACAAAGGACTCCAAAAGGAGTCAAGCCTCCTCGAAGGTACGAAGGCAGTCAAAAATGACTAAGACTCCAAAGGAGTCGAGCCTCGATTAAGGGGAGGCGTGCTTTGTTCGAGGGGAGGTGTTGGATGATGAAAGTCCCACATCGGTTAATTTAGGGAATGGTCATGGGTTTATAATGTAAGAATACACTCTTCATTGGTATGAGGCCTTTTGGGGAAGCCCAAAGCAAAGCCATGAGAGCTTATGCTCAAAGTGGACAATATCATACCATTGTGGAGAGTCGTGATCGTCTAACAGATTTAACAAGCCCCTTATCCAAAAAAAGCTCACGTGCTTCTTTTTATAATGATAGTGAGTTTTGGGGTTATATATGGAAAAAAACAATTGTTTTCAAATATTCTTGCATACTCATGAGGGCAAAAACGTCAATATGAAGTCATCATATATTATTTTATTTAATAAACATAAATAAAGACATTGTTTAATCTGTCTTTTTAATAAATTATATGTAAACTCAAACAATATCATACTATTATGGAAAAATTTAATAATTTTCTCCGCGATCTAATTAAAACAGTAATATATATAATAATTAATTTCTAAATTATTCATTTAATAAATAGGGTGTAAATATAAGTAAACGACAAGTTTGAGTGCTGCTTTTTGGCTATGTACATGGAATTTTGGAAGTTTGGTGAATGTGAGGTTCCTACAAAATTTTAAGCCATCTTACTTTTCCCCCCTTTTTCATAAAGCCTGTCATTTCATTTCCTCTCCGACATTGTTCGAAATAAATAAATAAATAAATAAATAAATCGACATTTTTATTACATCATAAATAAACGAAAGAAATATATTAATAAATAGACATAATTTTAGTAACAACAAAAATAAATTATATATAGGACGTGGGGAGGAGTGTGTAAGTGGGGCCCGTGGGCATTGGTAGGGGAAGTGGTTAAAGAAGAGGAAAAGTTGTAGTGGGTTGGGCTTGGATTGTAATGGGTTGGTGGGCTCCATTTCTTATCATTATGCAATTTAATTTCCACCACCAACCTTACCTAAAAATAAAATATATATTATTTATTTATTTATAAATCCACACCTTTTTAAAAAATTATTTCTCTTTTCTCAAGAAAAAAAAGAATAAAACCATTTCTCCTTTCACTTTACAACCCATTCATTTTTATCTTCGTGGTACAATAATTTGGTTAGTGGGTGAATTTCATTTTCATGATGACCTCATTTTTTGTTTTTTTGTATTTAACTCTGTGTCTATAAATTGGGAAAATAAATTCCCTTATTTTTACTACAAAATTCTAAGTAAATTAATACAAATATCCATAAAATTTACCCTTTCTCTCCCAATAAAAAATGTTCTAACCTTTCAAATATTTTTTAAAGTAATTAAAAGATTTGAATATAATCCGATAATTTTTTTAATAAAAGTAAAAGATGTTAATGGTGGTTTTAAAATTTCATGAGTATTTTTTTTTTACGTAATTTATTTTTTAACTTGAAAAAAATATATAAAATATTTTTGAAATAAAATAACGATAATTTCTCGATAATGTATTTTTAAAAAGTTTTAAAAGTAGATAATTTTATTAGTACAATATGTACCTTTTTTTAATTACACTTTTTATACTTTTTTTTTTATTATTATTATTTACCTGTTTGCTATTTGCTTTTTATAACCCACAGATTACAAAAGGGACTGTTATTTATAAATATTCGTTATTTTTTTATTTTTTTATTTTTTTTTATTGAAACTTGTGTAACAAACATACTTAATGTAATTGGTGAGTTTAATGACATTTTTACTTTTTTTTAATAAATAATATAAAATTAAATAAAAAAAATTACAACATATAATTACGAAATAAAAATTTATCTTTTCCACAATAATAATACTATTTTATAGGTAATTTTACTGAGCGTATTGCATGCCTTAGAGTATTGGATGTTTCGATCATGATTATTTATGGACGTATTGTTTATAGTTGTATGTCTGCAAACTTTTTTTTACTTGATTTCATGTGTAGTTATATTTTTATTATTATTATCATATTAGTACGGGGGTGTATGAGTTCACAAAAAAAATCATGTCTATACTCATTAAAATGTCCTACAATTTGATATGACTAATTGTCAATTCTTTATGAGCTATACACTATAATGTGTTCATCTCTCCAACTAAGGTAGGATATTAGAGTCTATACCCCTAGTGTCCTTGCTGGCATACTGTTCGGTGTCCGGCTTTGATACCATTTGTAATAACTCAAGCTCACACCTAGCAAGTATTATTTAGTTTGACCTACAGTGTTAGAGAGAAGTTTCTAAACTTTTAAAATTACCACTATAATCCTTCTGGCTTTAAATTTTCTTAAAACTTATAAATATGTTTAATAAAAAATTAAATGTAGTCATAAAATTTAATTTTTATAGGAAAGAGATTAGTTTTTAAAATTTTAAAATAAATTATTAAATGTAAAAAGAACTTAATTATATATTTTCAAAAATTTGAAAGTGAAGGGCAAAATTGGAAAGTAGAGTGGGTACAAAGGGACATATGGGGTGCCTGCATTAAATGGCTCCACGTCAGATTTGCAGATTACCCAGCTTTCAAAACCCCACCTCCTCTCGTCTCCTCTTCGCCCACGCCCATAAATCCACACTCCCTCGCCCACACAGACACAGAAACAGCAGCCGGAGCCAACAACACCCACCGCTACCCAGAGCTCTCCGCCTCAGCCATGGGTGAAGTAAGCAAAATTCTCCCTCTTCATCATCATCATCCACTGAAATTTAAACAATTTGGGTACCCATTTCAGGAAATCAAGAAGAAGGAAGAAGGCGAAGATCAAAAGAAGGAAGAAGGCAAAGAAGAGAAAAAGGAAGCAACTGAATCAGCAGCGGAAACAACCCCAGAAGAAGAAAAGAAACAAGAGAGCAAGAAAAACGAAGAAGAATCGCCCCCAGAAATTGTGCTCAAAGTGGATATGCATTGCGAAGCCTGCGCCAGAAAAGTGGCCAGAGCCCTCAAGGGCTTCCAAGGTCAGCTTCACCTCGATTAAGTTGCATTTTGTTTTGTTTTGTTTTGAGTATAAGGGTGTAGTGTTGTTCTAATTTGGTTGAAGGAGTGGAGAATGTGACAACGGATAGCAGAGCAGGGAAGGTGGTGGTGAAAGGGAAAGGGGCAGACCCTTTGAAGGTTTGTGAGAGATTACAGAAGAAAAGTGGGAGAAAAGTAGAGCTAATCTCGCCATTGCCTAAGCCTGCTCCTGAGGAGCAACAACCTAAAGAAGATGACAAACAGCCAAAGGAAGAGAAAAAGGAAGAGGTAAAGTCATCAACATCCTTTTAAGCCTTTAACTTTCACTTTACTCTACATATCATCCATGCATATGTGCAAATACCACTCACTTTCTTAACTTTCACAAAAAGGAAACAAAAGAGAGTGAAAGATGAACAAAAAGGATGGCTGAGCTTCAAACTTAGGTCCCTATCTATACCCTCATACTACTTTTCCTTATAGGCTTTCCCTTGAGGTTTTTAAAACGCGACTGTTTGGGGCCTAGTGTCTTTTGCTGATATTCGTTCTCCTCTTCAAACGATGTGGGATCTCACAATCCAACCCCTTTTAGGGCCTAACGTTCTGGTTGGCATACTTCACGGTGTGAAATCTCACATCTTCTTTCTTTGAACTTTTGAATTACAGTCATGAACACAGGAGTATGATTAGCAAATTAGAGGAACAAGAACACGGAGAATTATATTGATAAATTGTAATGCAAATTCATAAAAGCTTGTACTTGAGAGAAATTTGAACATCTTGAGTTCAAGTACCTCCAAGTGCAGAGGCTGGTCTGAAGCTTTTTTCTTCTCTGGGTTCATAATTGGGTCCTTTTGTTGGCTGTCAGAGAAATGAATTGAAAGATTGAATGTTAGAAACTAAGGTAAAAATTCAAAGTTGGAAATGAAGAGGAAGACAGTGAGAGTTGGGGGGAAACTGACATGAAAACAATAAAAAAAAAACAAAACAAAAGAAAAAGGCCTGAGAATGGAGACCCCACTCCACCTCACTTCACCCTCTCAGCCCCCTCTGTTTCAGTCTCTGAGATCTCTCTCTTCCCTTTGGTTCCACAAAACTGATATGCACATTACACAAGAACAGAGCTGGATGGATGTTGCTGTTTCTGTAGCTGTAGCTCTTATTTATGGCCTCCAAACCCCTTTGACCCCACACACCCACCCATTATTGCCTTCTACTCACGGGCTAAACAGTACATTGAATACATGGCCAAAATCCCTTCTGCGGGGACCAACTTTGTTTCTTATTTAGTTTTTAAGTATACAAAATTTGATGCAGGCTCCTCCACCTCCAGCAGTGGTAACAGTGGTACTGAACGTGCAGATGCACTGCGAGGCTTGTGCTCAAGTTTTAAAGAAGCGAATCAGGAAGTTCAAAGGTAGAATGATAGTTTTAAAGAAGCGTAAGAAGGATTGAGGGATGTGTGTTTGTGGTTTGTTTGCAGGTGTAGAGTCTGTGGAAACAGAACTAGCTAGCAATCAGGTGATTGTTAAAGGGGTTATGGATCCGAGTAAGCTGGTCGACCATGTTTCGAAGAGAAGCCGAAGGCCGGCTTCCATAGTAGTGAAGGAGGAAGAAAAGAAGGAAGAGGAGAAGAAGGAAGAGGAAAAACCAGCAGCTGAAGAGAAACCAGAGGAGAAGAAGGAGACTCAGGAAGAAGATGATAAGAAGTTTGATATCAAAAGGCTTGAGTATTGGCCATCAACCAAATATTACACTGAGTATGCGTATGTGCCTGAGCGGCTTTTCAGTGACGAGAATCCAAATGCGTGTTTAATAATGTAGACTGCAATTCTATTTTGTTTTTGGCTTAATTTGCCGTTTTGTACCTTCTCAGATACTTTCTATCTCAGTAATGCCAGCAAGGTTAATGGTTAATATTAATCTCTCAGGTCTATATAGACATTGTCCGCTTTGGTTATCGTGGTCAGCTTCACGATTTTAAAACGCGATTTCTACTCTTGTAAGAAATGTTTTGTTCCTCTCTCAAATCGATATGAGATCTTACAATCTACTCCCTCTCGTGGTCCAACGTCCTCGCTGGCACTTTGCTTGGTATCTGGCTCTGCTGGCACTTTGCTCGGTATCTGGCTCTGATATCATTGTCCGTTTTAGCTTGTTACGTATCATCGTCAGCCTAAAACATGTCTAGTAGGGAGAGGTTTCTACACCCATATAAGAAATGGTTTAAAGTCCAATGTCCTTGCTGACACACCTCTCAGTGTTATATCATTTGTAACAGCCCAAGTCCACTGCTAGCTGATATTGTGAGATCCCACATTGATTGACGGTGATGCGTAACAGGTTAAGGCAGACAATATTTGTTAGTGGTGGGCTTGAGATATTACACACGCTACATTTGTATCCCAAACAAATTTATTTCGTTATCAGAACTTGCAACCATCGAGACAGATGGGAGAGGGAGTGAGATGATCCTGCTACAATGAAGGGGAAATTTTAGTAACCGATTAAAATGCATGTCAGATAAAAAAAAGAAAAAAAGAGATGGTATTATGTAAGGTACAATCTTGAAGAACGATCCATTCAGACTTCCTGGTTGATTCAGAAGTGTTTAAACGAAATGGCATCGACACCATATAAAGCTACAGTAAGGAAAAATGGGTTTAGATTGTGAATTTCATTACACAGGATGCCTATTCTAACGTTGTCTCTGCAAGGATTTATAGAGCACGACGGTTACGTACTTGGCAAGGAACCGGTGAGTCATCCCGAGTGCGACGACGGAGGGGCCACCCCTTTCCTTCTGCATGTAAAGATGATTCAGCACAACATGCTGAGGTCTTGATATAGGAGGTAAGATTTCATTGTATGGGGAAGGCATGTCGAGCAGTGTGGTTTTCAAGTGGGGAGGAGCCAGTGGTGGCTCCTTTGAAAAATCTTCAGATCCAAGCTGCAAACTGCTGTAACTCGACTCTGGGGACTGAGGAGGTTCAAAGCTGGAAATGCTTTCGATGTCTTCTGGGACATAGTCCTATAGCATTTCATCAGTTAAAAAATAAGCTCTACAAGCTTCTATTATTCCAAATACAACACCAGAATGACAGGTCTCCACACATCAAAGTGGAGATATGAAAGAAAAAAACACGATTATTTTTTAAATATATATATCAAATGCTGCATCAAAGTGTCAGATAAGCATAAATTGAGCTCTGTTGATTATCAAGCTTCTTGACTAAAACGAGAGAGAGAGAGTCATCCACGATGGTATAAACACATGCTTACAAAGTGCAAAGTGAGATCCCACATCGGTTGAAGAGGAGAACGAAGCATTCTTTATAAGAGTGTGGAAACCTCTCTGTAGCATACACGTTTTAAAAACCTTGAGGGTAACCCCGAAAGAGAAAACTCAAAGAGGGCGATGTGCCAGCGAGGAGGCTGAGTCCTGAAGGGGGGTTGGGCCCCGAAGGGAGGTGGATGAAGGGGTCCCATATCGATTGGAGAAGGGAAAGAGTGCCAGCGAGAATGCTGGGCTCCAAAGGGGGATGAGTTGTGAGATTTCACATTGGGGAGGAGAACGAAGCATTCTTTATGAGCGTGTGGAAACCTCTCTCTAGTAGATGTGTTTTAAAAACCTTGAGGGAAGCTCGAAAGGAAAAGTCCAAAGAGGACAATATCGGCTAGTGGTGGGTTTAGGCGGTTATAAATAGTGTTACAAATAGCATTACCCAGGTTGAATGAGAGGAATTTGACTCTCTTAACTCTGAAGCACTAGATCAGAAAGCTCCATACTTTTTGGCTATTTTAATTTTAAACAAAAATAACCAAAATGATCAACTTTCATGCATCTCACGAAACCGAGTTTCATCGACAACTTTCATATCAGGATAGTAAGAGGGTATGAGATGGTCAGCAAGAAAGAGATTTTTACCTGCAAGTCCAAGATATTGTAAGCATTGCCTGCATCATCTGGGGCCCAAGGCAAGTCAGGAGCATATCTCCATTGTCCATCAGCAATAAACCTATACTGGTAAACACCAGAAGACAATACCTTCATAATCGTGAAGTCCTTCCCAGATCTCTGCAACGGTATTCTGATCAGGAAGAAGACATTGGGTATCAGATGGCAGTCAGTCAATCGAGTAAGAAACGAACTACAAATTGAGAGAACAGAGCAACAAACTTTGATTTCCAGTTGTCCCAAGATCCCTCAACAGCTACTTCCTTGCCTCCATGACTCCAGGTAATCATCGTTGGGATTCCTTGTTCACTGTTCACGTCGTCAAACAACGAACTGTTATTCATCCAGGACTCGCTTGAATTGGGCACCTCATCAGGTCTTGGCAGTGGAACAACCGGTACCTGTTAAGACAGATAGAAGTACTCAAAATCATGGCTCGCAAGGACAGAAGTTCAGACACTGAAGGAAAGAAACCAGTGCAGAGATCACAGAATGATTCACAGCTCAATCTATAGTAACATTATTGATCAAAACTAAAGAGGAACTTTGTGGTTATAGCTCAACAGCATCTTTGACTGTTTTCCAGAATCCAAAATGGGTACCTTTCTAGGCATTCAAAATGAATTTGCAAGTTAGATGAGTTATAATATTGAAACTGTTCCAAAAAATACCTATAGACTTTTTCATTAAAATGGTGAATGAAAATTTGTACGCAATCGTTTATAATATCGTTCATGTTGGTTGAGTTAACGATATGAACATCTTTTAACTTGAAACTAACAATGATCTTAATCTTCTATATAGTTGAGCTTGAATCGTAAATGATGCTATGAACGCTTTCCAGTTTTTATAATTACATTAAACTATCAAAGGTGCTTTTTCATGATTGAAATCTACACCGAAGTTCAAGCGTATTTTGTATAATTTAACCAACAATTTCCCAGATTGAGAGGATGACAGAGTGATATTTTCATCTTCCTAGAAGTATGAGTAGAAGAATTCCATGATAAAATGGAACCCTAAAATCAAGATGCATTCTGAACAAAGATTCCAGAAAGCTTATACAACACAACACTGTAATGGGAAGATAAAAAGATAGAGGCAGTCGATCGAATTTGCACAGAGAATTATAGTGTAGCAATAGCCCTGTAGATTCACCAAATCGTCCATCTATTCATGTAGGACTTACATCAAACACATACCGTGCAGGTAAAGTAGCGACACGAAAAGGCCAAGATTCCTCGCAGAAACTTATCGAAAAAGGAAACGAAAGGAATTTCCAATTACATACAATACCAAACATCCCCACCGTATATCAATTTTCAATGAACTGGAGGAATTCACGACCAGGAATGAAAGGCAAAATTCAGGGAACTAACTCACTTGGGGAGTAAACATCAATGGAGATGGAATGGCGCGAGGGCTACGAGGAGGAGAATGACCCATCAGCTCTGCAGGTGGATCGCCAATGAGGTAGTCAAGGTGAGCATCGGGAGGCGCAGCCAGGCCGTCCGGCAAACTCCTCCGTCGGCTACCGACTTCTTCATCTTCTTCTTCAACCCCAGATGGATTAGCGTCCTCATCTTCTCTCCCGTTCACATTCCCCATTAATACGAACAAGAATAAATGGAAAGTAAATAAATAAAATTTTAAAAAAACCCGGAATCCTTTGTGGGTGGGCGAAAAAGAACGAAAATGGGTGGAAAAACGATTCTCCACAGAAAAAGAACAATCAAGTGATTAGGGACGACATAAACAGAGAAACCCTCATAATCCTAAGATTCATAGTTCATCCGCAGAAATTGCAAGAAATCAAAGTGGGATAAAACTGAAAACCCAAACAAATTGAAGGATTTGGATATGTGTTCTTACGAGAAGGATGCTAAAAAGAACAAAGCGCAAAGATTAACCTTCTTAATCTTTTCTCCGACGAGTCAGGAAGATCGAATGGTGGCCCAAGGTTGATGGGCTTTTAAGGATAACAGGAATCATCGTCACGTCATGGTTGACAAAGTCCTGCTCCCGATCCCCACCCATGGCCTCCATCCATTTACTTTAGCTAATTTACAGCTTCCCTTTGATGCTTTCTTTTCCTCGATCGTGGCTACCACGTTCTAAACCTTATTTCTTCCCTTTTACTCATCAAAATCACATCTTTCCAAAATGAACCCAAACTGGGTTTGCAGTGAAAATGACAAAGTTTAATACTTTTATTCATTCCACACAGACTTATTACTCTTTGCCTTTCTTTTTCCTCTTGGTTTATGGGAATTTACCCTTTGTTTCTCAATTGGAATCTTGAAAGTTCTTGTACATTATCATGATCGTTTGAAATGAATATCGTTTAATTATATAGCTTTTTGAATCAAATTAGAACACAGCAGTCAAATTCATAGTTCCACTTTAAATTCTATCAGAATCTGCATAGAAAATTATAGCAATGTATTTTGAAATCACCGAAAGTGTGAACTTATGCACTTTTGAGTATCAGAAACAAGAGTATGGTCCAATAGCTAGAAAAGATTAAGAAGCAAAGAAACAAGATTGATGCTACTTGGCAAAATGTATCAATCAAGGACTGATATCTATCAAGGATTGACGACAAGACCTCACCGCCTGTTCATGTCGTGTTCGTTTAAGTACAAGAAGTTTCGTTTGCTCGAAAATGCTGGGGAAGTGAGCACAGGAGAAAATCCAGAATACTGCTGCTGAATCTTTGTGACACAAATGTTGTTGATACACTTCCATACTTCGTGTTTTTGGAGTAACGGTTGAGCGGTGTAGTCCTCGAGTTTCATCCACTGCAACGACAATGGTTGCAACAATTGTAACGACTATTCAACATTGCAATTGAACTGAACCGAAGTTCAGCTAGAAAAGATGGTTATTTCACCAGAAATATTTGGAACACTCAGACAGGTCTAGAAGTTTCTAAGACAACTAATGATGTTGTACTATGATATGC